ACCAGCTGCCCCCACACGACAGTGAGGTGAGGAGAGAAGACAGGAAGGGCATGCCAGGTCGGGGTGGGGGTGGGGGGCACAGCCTGAGCAAATGCTAAGCAGCTAGAAAGAAATGGACAGGGCCAGGGGCACCTGGGTGGCTCAGCCGGTTAAGCATCCAACTTCGACTCAGGTCATGATCTCACAATTTTGTGAGTTCCAGCCCCGTGTTGGGCTCTGCGCTGACACTGCGGAGCCTGCCTGGGATTCTCTCTTTCTCTCCCTCTCTCCCTGTCTCTCTATCCCTTCCCTGCTCACACTGTCTCTGTCTCTCTCAAAATAAATAAATAAAACATTTTTTAAAAAAGAAATGGACAGGGTCAGAGGAGGAAAGGTAAGCTGATCTGAGGTCTGGACAGACAGGGACAATCAGGACATTCCTTGGCAAAACCACAGCTGAGCCTCGGGAGAAGAGGTAAGGGGTGGGAATTTCAGGCAGGAAGTAACATCTATAGAAAGACCTAGAAGTGAACTCTTGAGCTGGGATGAATTCTGGAAGGTGGGGAGGGGCAGGCATCATGGGAGGTGCCTGGAAGACCTTCCTACCCCAGGCACAGTACTGCACAGCACTGGAAGAGGAAGAGAAGAAAGAGCTCAGAGCCTTCAGCCAGCAGCGGAAACGAGAGAATCTGGGGCGCGGCACTGTGCGCATCTTCCCTGTGACCATCACTGGAGCCATCTGTGAGGAGGTGAGTAAGGGAGGGCCTGGGTGAGTGAGTAGTGCCTTTGTTCCAGGCCCTGGTAAGATGAGGCCTGCCACTTAAGCCCTAGTGGTCTGTCTCTAATGTCCCCTCTGGTGGATGGGGTCTTTTCCTCCTATCCCACTGTTAGGCATGGACCATCCCTTGCCATCTCCCTGGCCAGCAAGGTCTGTCTGTAGGACCCCCTGGTGGACAGGGCCTGTTCCTCCCATCTCACTGTTGAGTGTGGTCTGTCTCTCAGGAGGCTCTAGTGGACCTTCTCTATTAGTTCCCTCCACGCAGTGGATATGAGGTGTGGGCTGACTCTCTGGTCCTCTTGTGGTTGCAACATGTCCTTAAGAACTGACCCCCAGTAGCAGGACCTGTCTGTAGGGCCCAGTGGTGGGTCAAATTTATCTTCAAGGCCCCTCCTGGTAGGTAGAGCCTGACCCTAAATCCTACTGTTAGGATCTAAAGTGAGGTTTGTCACTAAGTTTCCCCCCCTGGGCCAGGCCTATCTCTTTGATTTCCCCAGCTCCCTAAAGCCAAGATTTGCCTTTAAGGCCACCCATGATTAGAAGGGCCTGTCTCTATGGTTTCCCCCAGGAGCAGGGTCAGTCTCTAAGGTACCCTCCCCTGTAGGCAGGACCTGTTTCAAAGTTACCCCACTGGTGGAACCAGTCACAGAGGTCTGCCATGGGGATGGCCCAAGTGCGACCTGCATGACTTGGCTGACCCCATCCATCTGACCATCTTGGTGGCAGTGTCTATCTGTCATTTGGCAGTGCGGGAAGCAGATTGGAGGTGGGGACATCGCAGTGTTTGCCAGCAGGGCAGGCCTGGGTGCCTGCTGGCACCCACAGTGTTTTGTGTGCTCCACGTGCCGGGAGCTGCTGGTGGACCTCATCTACTTCTATCATGCTGGCAAAGTCTACTGTGGTCGTCACCATGCTGAACGCCTGCGCCCGCGCTGCCAAGCCTGTGATGAGGTTCGTGCCTCTCTACCCAGGGGTGGGAGTGGAGAGTGGGCAGGGCCACGGGCAGGCCCCTCTGATGGCCAAGGTGGCCTGTGTTCCCCCCCCCCCAGATCATCTTCTCCCCTGAGTGCACCGAGGCTGAGGGCCGGCACTGGCACATGGGTCACTTCTGCTGCTTTGAATGTGAAGCATCGCTAGGAGGGCAGCGCTACGTCATGCGTCAGAGCCGCCCCCACTGCTGTGCCTGCTACGAGGCCCGCCACGCGGAGTACTGTGATGGCTGTGGGGAGCACATTGGTGGGTGAACGTGACATTGAACAAGGGGACAGATGGACAGCTGGGCCACAGCACCACCCCAGCAGGATCCTCCGTTAATATTCCATGCTTTCAGTCTAGTGCCAGGACCAAAGCCCTATACCCTTCACTGCAAATCTCTCACCGGTATCCCCCGTTATGCCGTACTTTCTAAACCCCACCTGCACAACACTAGGCACCACAACACATCTAGGCCCACTTCCAGAGTTCCCTCTAATTCCCAGCCCCTCCCCCCTCCTTTAGTCCCTCATCCAAAGCCCAACTCCCCCAAGCTGTGCCCTATTCTGTAAAGATTCCTCCTACCTTCTAAACCACACCCTACCATCTAAGACCCACTCCTTTCCTACCAAGGCCCTGCCCTACCTTCTAAGCCCTGTTCCCACCACCCTGGTCTTTTCATCAGGTCTGCGTTCTGCACTCCATGCACCAGAAGCCACTTCTTAAAGTTGAAGCCTGACCCACATCTTAGAGTCCAATGCCAAGCCCCAACTCTGGGAGGGAGCACCCTAGGAAAGAAAGGGAAGGAGGAAACAGTTTCCAGAAAAGAAGGGATGACGAAACTCAGGGCAAAGCCCAAAGCTCGGGTTTCCCGCTTTCTCCAGACAAGAGCCCCATTCTGAAGAGTTGGGGGAAGGAGGGAGTCTTGGGACACCCTGCCTCAGATTCCCTGCCTCTTCCCAAGAAGGGCCCATTCAGAACGGGTGGGGATATGCCTGATGACCCTGCCTCAGCTTCCCCCTTCTTCGGTCTCTGCAGGCCTGGACCAGGGGCAGATGGCTTATGAGGGCCAGCACTGGCACGCCTCAGACCGCTGCTTCTGCTGTAGTCGCTGCGGGCGAGCCCTGCTGGGCCGCCCCTTCCTGCCACGCCGCGGCCTAATCTTCTGCTCGAGAGCCTGCAGCCTGGGGTCGGAGCCCACGGCTTCTGGGTCCGGCCGCCGTAGCTGGAGCGCGGGCACGGTCCCCGCGCCTCTTGCAGCATCCACGGCCTCTTTCTCTGCTGCGGAGGAGGCGTCCGAGACCTCCACCAAAGGCACCAGCACGGAGCCGGAGCCTGGTGAGCTAACCCTCGAGCCACGCCCAGCCTCTAGAGCCACGCCCAGCCTCTACTCGTCCCTCCGCCTCAACCCTGGCCCATGAGCTCGATTCACCCAGGCCCTTCACCTGGGGCATCCCCGGCACCGCCCCCATCTCAACCCTTGTTCCATCCCCAAACTAGGTCTCGTCTCCAGCCCAAACTACACCCCCTCGTGAACTCTGGTTCCTCCCCGCTCAGTTACAAGGCCAGTCCCCTAGCCTCAACTTGTTCCTGCTTGAGCCCGAGTTGTTCCTCCTTCCTTCCAAACCCTCGACCCTCCACCCTCCACGCCCAGGCCCCGCCCCTATCCTAAGGCAAATTTGGTCGGCTTTAGCCCATGCCACGCCCCTTCTATCAGAAGCCTAGCTCCCATTCCCTCCACCCATAGCCTGCCCTAGGCCTCATATTGCCCAAATTCCCCACCTTGCTGCCCCTCTCCGACCCCTGTCCCCACTTTCCCAGTCCCGATGGGGGAAAGCAGAGAAAGCCTTTCCACAGGCCTCTCCTGGGTGGTTGGGGGCGGGGGGAGATAACAGGGAGTTGCTCCATCTCTCTTTTCAGTTACAGGCCCTGAGGAGCCAGCCCGCTTTCTGAGAGGGGCCCCCCACCGCCACTCCATGCCAGAGCTGGGGCTCCGCAGTCCCCCCGAGCCACCCCCAGGACCCCCCAGACAGCCAGACCCGAGCCCGGAAGATGGTGCCTTTGGTCGCCAGAGCACCCCTCGTGTCAGCTTCCGTGACCCTCTGGTGTCCGAGGGAGGCCCGCGGCGGACCCTGAGTGCGCCCCCAGCCCAGCGTCGCAGGCCACGCAGTCCCCCACCCAGGGCCCCCACCCGTCGTCGCCGCCGCCACCACCACCACCACAACCACCACTATCACCGCCGCCAATCTGGCAGATATCGCCACCACCAATGTGACTTGGGATCAAGATCGGACTCAGGATCTTGTTCCAGCTCACCTTCTAGCCCCAGTTCTGAGTCCTCAGAGGAGGATGGCTTCTTCCTAGGGGAACGCATCCCGCTGCCCCCGCATCTGTGCAGGCCCCGGCCTGCTCAGGACAATGCAACTGGAACCCCTAAATCCCCATCTCCACAGCTCTCCGGGAACTCGCGCCCAGGGATGCCTCGCCAGGCCAGAGATAAGAACTGCATCGTGGCTTGAACGCAGTGTAGTCCTGGAGGGCTCCATTCTCAAGTCCAAGTAGATGATCCCATCCCCCAACCTAAATCATAAATCCCCTTCCTCCTTCATCTGTTTTTTGTTAATGGAGTAATTTAATATTTGTTGTAAAACAGGTGTGGCTTCTTTACCTCCTTGCTCCAGCTGTCCTCCTCCCCAATTTTGCCCCTCCTGATGCTTGAGATTTATCCACATTTGATCAAAGGATTAATTTATTCATTACCATATGTTCTAACAATCTCTTTATTTATCCCTCCACAGAACCACCCACACTGAGGAGTTTTTTTGGTGTGGGTCACAACCTGGGACCTAAAATCTCAAATCTGAGGCTCCCTCCTCCCTCATTTTGTGGCTTAAGTGGGTCCGTAGTCCAGGCAGAACAGGTGTCTCCTTTTGGATACTGCAGAAGGAAGGGGGACATAGGCACACCCATAAAAATGGCCACACCCAGGAGGGATTGGCAGGTAGGAAAATAGATTCTCCCGATAAAGGCACTTTTACTTCAAATAAGGGACTGGGAGTTGGCTGGGAGTGCTGTAGGAGCAGGAGGGAGTTATTTCCATGGAAGTGTTATTTGCAGGTTGCAGAGAGAAATGAAGGGAGTTCACCTACACCGGGCCATCTGCAGGGTCTGCAAGTGAGGAAAAGAGAGGAAAGCATTGGCTGGATTCATACACCTATTTACAGACAAGAATACTGAAGCTTATGGTACTTACTGGCACTAAAGCCATCAGTACCAATAAGGGGCATTCATGCCCTTGGGAGACCCCTTTCTTTCTCTCCTCAGCCCCCTAAGCAACACTCCCCCCGACACACACACACACACATACACACACACACACACACACACACACACACACACACACACACACTTACCAGTAGGGGCTGCTGTATGTCTTTGCTGCCGCAAGGGGAAAGTGATGTAGGCATCATAGCCAAAGAGGCATGAGACAATTAGGCCCAGTACCTGAGGGTGGAGATGGGAGTAAGTGAGGTTGGATTAGGTTGGTCAGCCTACTCAGGCTTTTGCTTCTTTGTCCACCACCTCCCATGACTGCCCAACACAGGGATGGTGACTAAAACCCAGATCAGGAAGCCAGAGAGCCCCAGGGAAAGACCAGGAGACTGGAATCTACCCTACCCTCCCTCCTCCTAGACCATCCCAACACAGGGAAACCACATGGTGGCCCCACATGTTGGTGGCACCATTCACACTGTACATTTGAGACAAAGTTCTAGCAGATGATAGTCTAATGTATTGACAAAGGGGCCTCCTCTTTGCTCTTCCCACAAAGGTCCCTGTGTTGGACAAAGTATGGCCTCTCACAGCAAATGGTGATCTTGGGAGGAAAACCAGGGCCTGGCCAGACTTTCCTGTAGGCTCTGAGGACAAGTGTGGCCTGCCAGGGGTCACACGCTTTCTAGCAAAAACAGGGGCAAAAATGGCCCCTGGATTCTCAAACCCCTCTCTCTTTACTTTAGAGCTGCCCCTGCAGCTTTTACCCCTGCGATGATTTTGGAGGCATTTCCTCTCTCAACCAGGACAACAATGGAGGTGATCAGGTAGAGGATGGCCGCTATGAGGGTTCGGAAGAAATCCTGTGAGGTGTAAAGAGAAGAGGGAAGTCAGCATCCAGAGTTACTGGGACCATCCCACCTGCCCAGGTCCCTCCCTAACCACGCCATTTTCAGCCCCCTTCTCACACTCCAAGGCCAGTTGATGATCTGTATCTTAGTGTGCAGGTCACACATGTAGATGACAAAGAAGATAGTAGCAAGGATCATTTCAACCACCGACAGGGAGGAGTATCCCGGTGTGGAGGCACTGAAGCAGATCAGAATCACCAGGCAAAATATCTGGAAGGATGACAGGGGAAAGGGGGCCTATGATCAGTGCCCATCAGGGCTGAGGGGATTGATTTAAACTGAAGGTCTCAAACTCAGATGCCTACCAGGACTGGAAAGATGACAAATAATAATCGCTAAACATTTATTGTGTGCTCATTGTGTCTCAAAGGTTCTTCTTCTAAGAGCTGTACAAATATTAATTTACTTAATTATCACGACAACCTAATGAGCTGGGTACTATTAGTATCTTTATTTTACAGGTGAGAAAAGTGAGCTCCAGAGAGGTTAAGTGACTTGCCCAGGGTCACCTAGCTAGTAAGGGGTAGCGTTGGGTGCCTCAATTTCGCCCCTTTTCCCTTCCAGCATAGGGGCGGGCTGCTGGGAGTGGTGCAGCCAGGTGTTTTGTGAGTACTGCTGGCGCCAGCTTCAGGGCCTTGACAGGGGCGGGACCTGCGGCTCCCTCGGCAACCCTTTTGGGAAGCGGTGAGAATGACACCGGAGGGGCAGGGCTGTGTTAAAGGCGTCGCACCCCTTTTACAAGTGAATCAAAGGCGGCGCCCACTTTGAGGGAGGTAGGAAACCCCGGCTCCTGAGCGGCCGTAATAGCTAAGGACCTCCGACCCGACCACAGAAGGGTGAGGAAGAACTGGTAAAAGGCGGACCGCCCTACCCCAAAGGACCAGCTCTCAGGGCCCCACCCCAACAGGCCCCGCCCCTGGGCTCCCGGCCAGCCCGCCCGCCTGTGCCCAGGCCGCGCCACGCCCTGCCACGGGAGGCCCCCCACCTCCCAGCCCCCTAGGATCCCTCGGTTGAGCCCACCGATGTGTCCACGCGGTCTCCCTCCACAGGGCCCCACATATGCTCTATGGACCCCTTGCGTCACCCCGTGGCCCAGCAGCTCCTGACCACCTTCTCCAAACCCCACGGACTCGCCCCGAGCCCCCAGTTTCGGGCCTCTGCCACTAAGTCACCCACCCTCGCCTCACTGGGGAGCGCCTCCGGGCCCACGTCTGCCTCACCTGGGGTCGCCGGGCTACGCGTGGTCCAGCCACCCCACCCCGCCTTTGCCCACCCGCCTATCCCGGGACGCTCACAATCTCAGCCAACAGGAGAATTCCTTTTCGGGTGCGCGAAAAGTTGGTGCAGGCGGCCCAGCAGCCGGGAGCCGACAGGCGCTCGGAATCCGCCATGGGGTGCGCTGGAGTCCCTAGGGGCGCAGAGTATCTACTTGCTTGCCCGTGGATTGGGGGACGCTGCACACCCTGCCGTCTTGCCCGCCGTCTGGACGGGAAGGGGGCCCCCGAGGCGAAGGAGGGAGTGAATCACCTCGCAGAGCAGAAGCGGGCGGGGCCGGAGGGGGCCGGGCCAGGTGGCTGCCGCCCCGGAAGCCCCTTTGCCCCGCCTGCCAAGGATACTCCCCGCCTGGCTCATAGCCCCCAGGGCGCCCCACCTCCAGAGGCGCCAGCCTTTGAGGCTTGGCAGTGCGGGGTACCAAGTGCGGTAATGGCGGTAATGGCGAGACCTTTCGCGCTTTCAGAATAGGAATGCTTTCGGTGCTGACTCAATTCGGAACCGCGGGGATCTGGTTTTGGTGGGAGGAGGGGAGGGGGAGGTATGACTCCGTTTCCTTAGCTGTAAAAATGACTGAGGGCATGGTTAAACCCATGTGTGTTTCCAGAATTCTGAATATTTCGGATCTTAGTTGTGTTTCTTGACACTCTCAGCGAGGTTTGAGGCTGCTCTGTTAAAAAAAAAAAAAAAAAAAAAAAAACCTTAATATTTCTTCAAGAAAAGGTGTGGATGTCGTTTACAGTAAGTGGGATAAGTCAGAACTGAAAATTGTGCCTCATTAAGTCAGGTCAGGTTTTGTAACCAAATGGTTCCCAACATGTGCTTTTTGGACTTCGGAATTTCGGATAAAAGATCATGGTTGGTGGAATAAACCTCTTAGCAGTGATGGAAATGAGACTGTGCTAGCGCACCGGCTAAAAGAGAACAGGGCTTGGTGAGCATCAAGCTGCTCAGTAAATCGGGACAGATATTATTAACAGTGTCACAGCCCAGGGTCTGATTCTCTGTTCTGCAATCCTAGGGAAGCCCTGGCCCTAAGTGCTGGGCCTCCATTTCCTGGTTCTAAGGAGAGCAGCCACCAGCACAGCCCTTGATGAGGAATGGGGAAGGAGCATGGATTTCTTTATTGCTGGAAGTTTGACAAGATGAGAGGAAGGCTCCTGGGGTGCCAGTCTGGGTGACAATGCTGATGACATTTGAAGTGTGTCATCCTAAGTGAGCAATTTCTCCTGACTCAGCCTTGATTTCTGCATCTGAGACATGCACCTGGTCACAGGAATCTGGATATCCATGGAGATGTGCTGAGGATCACACTATCCAGACTGGACTTGGTTTTATTCTCACCTCATTTTAGGAGGGAAGAGTTGTGGCTGGAAGGCCAGGACAGTTCAACACAAGGACCTGCCTGTACCCCCAACCTGGGGCCCCTCAAAACCAAGGAAGGGGCACCCCTCTGTCAGCCCAAATTGCTGAGAGTGGTTGGGTGGTGGAAGGAATGAAGCACATTTCTCCCACCCCTGAGTGTGTGCTTTCAACTTTGTGAGGACATGTCTGAGATTCTAGAACAAAACAAACTCTGCTCCACCTCAGGGCCTTTGCACTTGCTGTTCCCATGGCTGTCAATGCCCTTCCTCAAGCTCTTCATACATTTGGCTTCTGGTCATTCAGGTCCCAGCTCAAATGTTATGTCTCCAAAGAGACCAGCAGCCCACCATCATCACCTCCACCAACATAACCTCCTTTTGCTATTTTTATGATTCTGGGCTCTGAAGCTATCCTTTATTTATTCATTTTCTTGTCTTTTCTTTTCTGACATAAATCTACACAAGGTTAGAAATCTTTATGTTTTTCATTCCACCAGCGTCTCCCTAGTGCAATTATTTTGTCAGATGCAGGTGAGATTAAGAGGACAGGCTTGGGAATCTGGCCTTGATTAAGATTTTTTAGGGGGCACCTGGGTGGCTCAGTCAGTCAAGTGTCTGACTCTTAATTTTTGGCTCAGGTCCTGATCCCACGGTTGATCTCATGGATCTCCATGATCTCCATGAGCTCATGGAGCCTGC